ACCCTGTCCTGATACAACCGCTGAACTGCAGGCATCACCAGTTGATGGTAAAAACACTAATTCTGTTCATATAATGCAGTATTGCGTTAATTTCAATAACATAAAGATAATGATTGGTTCATTTACTTTCCTGTAGCTCCAGCCTCACCAGGTGTGAAGAGCAAGACACCTGTGCCCCTTCCACCAGAGCTGGCATTCCTGGTGAAAGGAGACAGCAGGCCCCACAAGCATAGAGAGGCCTGAGTCAACTCCAGGTATGTTTCCATTATAGTGTAGAGCTGATGTTCAGCTACACCTCCGCTTAATACAGACATCATTTAACTCAGTGTGATTCTATCCATCTTCCTTTTTAAATTCTAGCACCCTCAGCTCAGCCACCTGTTCCAGTTGTCCTGCCTGCATATGACCACGACGTGAGCAGCTGGAACTGTTCTCAACACCAGAAGCTGTGGATGAGGACTGAGCTTCAGGATCTTGGTTTGTGGCCTGGGTCTCGCCAGTGCGGAACCCAGGGAACACAGTTTCCCTGTGGCGTCTTCCTCCACAACCGGAGCTCATCAATACGGCGGCTGAGCTCCCATCCCCCAACTTCTTTCAGCTCCACCCATTTTTCATATGGAAACCCGAGAGTGACATCATGGTCAGGCTGAGGAACACCTACATCCTGCCGTGTCTCCATGGCTGTCCTCATCCGCAGGTGGTCTCCGCTGGTGTGGGCAGGCCTCGGGTGATTGTTGGCACCAGTGGGCAGTATTACATCTTGTCCTCTCGACTCTGCTGCAAAGCCTGTCGGAGGAACTGGTTTGCTGACAGTCCACGGTGGCTGGAGAAGCTGCCCAAGAGGTTTACCAACCTTCTGCCCGCATTCATCACCTACAAGAAAGCCATCTGCAAGTCTGTGATGGACGAGCTGAGGCGCACCGGCAAGTCACCAACAGATATGACAAACCAGGTGAATGAGCTCATGCACCTCAAGTATGAGCGAGCTCACCTGGCTTACCTGCATGCCATAGAAAGCGTCAGAGATGCTGAGGCCGGCGTGTATGGGCAGAGGACCATTGGGCAGTTCCTTCGGAAGGAAGACGCGCCACGTGCCTTTGGGCCATACGATGATGCAGATGGCTGGTGTGGAGTCTCCGTGTCCGCTTACTACCTGACTGACTGCCTACTAGATGAGTTCAGGCGTCAAGAGCCAGCCATGTCCAAAATCCTCCAGGGCACTTTTGGGCAGATCTTCAGGTCTGACCACACCAGGAAGGTGGCACAGAAAGTGACGCTGGCATCTGGAGCCATGTCCAGTTACGCCGTCATGAATGAGAACTGGTTGATTGTTTCCTGGGTGATGGTTCAGTCTGAGACTGAGAGGTCCTTGGAGCCCATGTACCAGGGTATGGCCAAGAGGTACAGCGATGCTGGAGTGGAAAAGGCAGGCTACCACTGGATGGACAGGTGAGAACAGCCATCCTCTCTTTTCGCTGTCATTCAGACTGTCAGTGTTATGTGTCATTAACAATGTGTCTTTTTTTAAATAATATGAATTGTTCTGTATCCTTGTGCCTTGCATTTTAGGGATTGCTGTGCTCGATTTAAGATCGCAGACTGCACACCTGGTGAACATCTGCACTGGGATGCCTGGAAGACCACCCCTTCCATTGTTGCTGATGCCACCTCTGGACCACTGCTTAACAATTGTGCCTCACGACTACATTACAACACCAACATCGCTGTGAAGCTGGACTTGTTTCACTGCCTGAGGCGTTTTACCCGGGAGTGCACCTCTGAGCATCACCCTCTGTACAGCACTTTCTGCCAGCTCCTCTCTGCTGCCTTTACTGTGGTGGATCAGGAGGACCTGAAGAAGCTACAAGACGCCTATGTATTCTGTGGTATCCATCCACCCAATCCCACCAAACAGCATATACGGGAACACTGCAGAACCAAAATACCACAACCTGCCGAGCTGCTAAACAGAGTAGAGAAAGTGCTGAAGCATTTTCACCAGGCCATTGACCCCAACAATGTCCCACTCTTCAAGCCATCCATGCTGAAGACGTGGCGCATACAGAGAGTGCACATTCTCCGTGGTTGCCTCAGTGACCCTGAACTCTCAGAGGGCATAATGTATAGGTATGGTGGAACTCTTCAGCTGAATCACATACCTGGTGAAGGCGCCAAAGTCCCCATCTGGATCCCTGTCAGAGGTACATCTCAGCAGGAGGGGTACCATTTCCACCAGGCTCAGTGGATCACCGGGACGCATGTCTCCCTGAGTTGTTCCAGGCCCAGGGCATGACAGGGGTGGCACGGTGGAACTACCAGCGGCTGGTGGACCTTAAGCAGCCAGGCGTCATCCTCCCTGCTGTGTTTGATCCAACTTTAACGGTGGAGTTAAACTGTGCTTCCAGAAGAGTGACTGGACAGGAGAAGTACCCTGCGCTTCACCTCTCTGACAGAGACACCGGAGAGAGGTTTGGCCTAGAGTACAGAGAACCAGGCTGCCGTCCAGTCCCTCTGGATTGGGACAAGCACAGAACGCAAAAGCGAGATGAACCAGCTGCTCTTGTGCCTCCGTCCCTGTGCAGACACCTGCTCCTGCCCAAGCCCTAGCTCCAGATGAGCCACCCTCCTCCAGCTGGACTCCTCTCTCTGCCATGACATCCCCTGGACCAGCACCATTCGTTGGCCGTCCGCTCTCTCCTGGTGCCCTGCTAAAGCTGAAGATGCCGCCAGATGATGACCAGGAACCTGCAGCAGCAATGGGTAAGTTAACAATGTCTTTTAGGCATACATTTTTGCATTATATTGTAATTAGTTGACATGATGAACTGAGGAACTATTATGTGCTTTATTGTGTTTCAGAAGTCTCACATGCCCTGCCCCTGCCGCTGAGGTCCGCACCAAGGAGCGCCCGCACTGGACCTGTAAAGACGGGTGGACGGGGTTTTGTGTTGGACCACACACGCTGACACCACCCATGAAAGAGGCGATTGACAGCTTGCTCCAGAAGTACCATGGGGAGAAAGACATTCTGAGGCTTGTGGATCAGGAATATGCAGACATGGTCCATCGGTCTGCCACAGATCCCAACAGCCTGTTGCACCCCACAACCAAGCTACACATATCCCGCTATGTGAAGCACCTGGCTAAACTTCTTAACACCAGTTCCTCTATGAACACAAGCCAGGAAAAACTTCTGGAGACTCAGCAGCTGTGGCACTCTTTAACAGAGGGGAGTAAGACAGCCAGTGTTCCTGTGGTCACCATGGAGCCGGCCATTGTAAACCCTCCTACACCTGCCCTGACCACATCTCTGACACCAGACGCTATTGAGAAAATTGTGGAGGGCATCTTGGACAGGCAGCAGCAACAGCAGCAGCAGCAACAGCACCAGCCAGAGCAGAAGAAAAGGCAGACAAAGACCTGTCTTGCCTGTGGACAGCCTAAGTCTCGCTATGAGAATGATGGATCCTCCATCCACTTTTTTTATCAGCAAGGGCCTGTACGCTATTTCTACTGCTCAAAGAAGGTGCATCAAAGTTATGCTGCTGAGGGACTCTCTGACCCCAACATGCCCTTTGTAGAATTTGCAGAGACAGAATTCTTCCAGAGGGAGCTGGAGGCCACCAAGAGACGAGTGGAGGAGAAGATGGAGAAGAAGAGGAAAAGGCCAGAATCCCAGCAAGCAGGCCGCCTCTGCAGATTCTGCCACATGAACCTGAAACAGGGACCAAACAGCCCACACATCCATACGGGCTTCCCTGGTGTGGCAGGGAAATACATTTATTGCCCATCCAAAGTATACTCTCTGTACCGTGATAAGGGCATGGCCAAGGAGATGGACTGGAAGGAGTTTCAGGGGTCTCCTTTCTGCGAATTAGAGAGACAAAGATGGGTTGCAGAAAAGAAAAATAATTTACGTGTATAGAAGGGTCGATTGAATGATGGTTCTGGGTGTTTATATGTTTATATGTTCTCTGATCTGTATAGATAAAACTAGATGTTATATAGATGTAAATGTGTAAATATGACAAAGTACATGTGCAACTATCTAGATTTAATTGTATGTACATAGATTTGATTATTTTTGTTTTTTATTATTATTATTATCAGTATTAGTAGTGTTAGTAGTAGTAGCAGTAGTATTTTGTAATACACATATAGATAGTTTTGTTTTGTTCACAGTCATTTGCAGCATAGGGATATGTGTATGTCTATACTTGTCATTTGACTATTTATTTGTTAGTGAAACTCTGTTCATAAATAAAATTGAAATGTAATTAAAATATTACATTGAGTCTTTATTGTGCTTGAATAAAAATGATATAGCATATCCTCTTCTACACAATTCCTTTTTCTCAATTTAACCATGCTATCTAACCATAAATTCGGTGTCATAACAATGAATCAGTGTGTTTACATTGGATAAACCCGAGTAGTACATCGACTATCCTTGTGGAGGGTGTTAATGGTAACTAAATAAAGGAATTTCACAAACAAGACAATAACAACATTTGTACTGGCTATCTGGTGGAATAGTATTTTTACAATGTTAAAAGTAGCTGCATTTACATTAGTGATTAATCAAATAAATTTGATATAAACTACAGAAACTAAGTATTGGTTAAATAATTTTCAAAATCCAAGCATTTTCAATGCTTTTTACTCATATTTCAAACACTTGGTAACACCTCAATCGGGATTTGAACCCCGTCTTATGGGGAATTTAAAATAAAAATTAATTGAAACGCTTGGCATTTTCAGCACCATGGATAAGAAAAAAATCAGCATTCTCATTGGCTGTTTTTCTGTTACAACTATCCGCGACTGGCCCCCGCGTGACAGGCGGGGATACTCACCACTATACTAACGAGGAGAAGAGATGAGAACAGCTTCCCAACAGCGTGTGCTACTGCTAACGTTGACCCCATACACCTTAGGAGCAGCGCGCTTACTCTTGAAATATCAAGCCCAAGGACAGGCATTATTCATTTTGCTAGTAGGCCGAAATAGCTCAGTTGGGAGAGCGTTAGACTGAAGATCTAAAGGTCCGGGTTTCGCACAGACTTGCACCTTTGTGTTAGCAGTCTAGACTTGACCCTTTTGCTGAGCATAGCATGGGCTCAACCCCGACTGACCACAGTCTCCACGTTCTCCTTCAAGATGACAACGGATGTGTCTGCTCTCATGGGAAAACTCTGCTGTCTACTTCTCCACAGGGCCAGTGGGGCTCAGGAGAGTCTTCTTCAACTCTTGAAATTCAGTGTGCAAGGGGAAAGCAGATCTGATTTGCACTGTCCTCCTTCTTCTTAATCTTTGCCTTTCTTTTGAAAACTGCACTTTCTTTCTCCAAGAGACAAGCAAAGGTTAGGTCGGCCATTTCAAAACGCTCTCCATAACAAACGCTAGACATCGCTCAACCATCAACGTCATGGGAGAAGGCATCAACAGCTTCCCTTTACAAAAACAGCTCCTTTACTTCTGTGTAACCAGAGAACACATTATAAATCATGAAGTTTGAAGTCTTGCAGTAGTGAGACAGCTGGTTACCCGTCCTTAGTTTCTAATGGTACATCCAGCATGAAACTGACAAACGTTAGCATGTTAGCCCTCAGCATACAACACATAGTTGGTTTCTATAGGACTATCCTATGTGTGTTAGCCAGTAAGCTACGTGATCCTACGATTTAATGGCCTTAGCACTGGCCACCAATTTGGTAGGTTGTTGTTGTAAGTTTAACCATCGTAGTAATTGTTCTTTTTAATCGGTTCTTCATGAATCCCGTTCCTGTTCATGGTGGATTCTTGTTTTTTTTTCAAACGTGAAATGTAGGGTTAATTTGACAAATTTCCTAGCAAAATGATTCATTCATGACATTGCATCTTGTATGAGGAGCTGATTTGTAGCATTTCATGGCAGATGCAACATATTGCATGACCTCTACAATCAAGTGATAGTGAAAAATCCTGCAGACGTGTGTGATTGTCGTGAAAATGGAGGCCTTCAGGAGGCGACTAGGTATTGATTTGCAGGTCAGGAAGGACACGAGGATGTTGGAATGGAGGAAATGACGTGCTTAAGCAGTATTAGGACGCAGGCAAGGAGTGTCCTTGTTCTTCTTTTTTAATAGTACGTGTCGTTGTATTTCGTGGGAGACATGTACGACGTCCTCGTCCCTCCATTGTCACAAAGGAAAAGGGCGCCATGGAGAATGCGGGCATCGATCCCGCTACCTCTCGCATGCTAAGCGAGCGCTCTACCATTTGAGCTAATTCCCCGGTGGGACCAAAGTGCCGTGCTGAGCAGGGATGTCTTTGTTTCTTTCGCTGGTACACGAGAATTGAAAAGTGCTTTTTGGATGGATGTTCCTTTCAGCTTTTGTAGGAAGCGCCCACTGCAAGGAATTGAAAGACAGGGGAGCCAAGTTGTAGTGAGAGCAGGAGTAATTTAATGCGGGTGGAATAGGTAGTCTCATGGAGATAGAGGGCGGTTTAAAACACTTTGGAAGAGGTAAATGGCATTGTGTAAGAAGGCTTTGACAAATAGTTGTTTGGCTAAGTTAGAAAAGAGCTTGCTCCCCGTCGGGGAATCGAACCCCGGTCTCCCGCGTGACAGGCGGGGATACTCACCACTATACTAAATGAGGAGAAGAGATAAGAACAGTTTCCCAACAGCGTGTGCTACTGCTAACGTTGACCCCATACACCTTAGGAGCAGCGCGCTTACTCTTGAAATATCAAGCCCAAGGACAGGCATTATTCATTTTGCTAGCAGGCCGAAATAGCTCAGTTGGGAGAGCGTTAGACTGAAGATCTAAAGGTCCCTGGTTCAATCCCGGGTTTCGGCACAGACTTGCACCTTTGTGTTAGCAGTCTAGACTTGACCCTTTTGCTGAGCATCGCATGGGCTCAACCCCGACTGACCACAGTCTCCACGTTCTCCTTCAAAATGACAACGGATGTGTCTGCTCTCATGGGAAAACTCTGCTGTCTACTTCTCCACAGGGCCAGTGGGGCTCAGGAGAGTCTTCTTCAACTCTTCAAATTCAGTGTGCAAGGGGAAAGCAGATCTGATTTGCACTGTCCTCCTTCTTCTTAATCTTTGCCTTTCTTTGAAAACTGCACTTTCTTTCTCCAAGAGACAAGCAAAGGTTAGGTCGGCCATTTCAAAACGCTCTCCATAACAAACGCTAGACATCGCTCAACCATCAACGTCATGGGAGAAGGCATCAACAGCTTCCCCTTTACAAAAACAGCTCCTTTACTTCTGTGTAACCAGAGAACACATTATAAATCATGAAGTTTGAAGTCTTGCAGTAGTGAGACAGCTGGTTACCCGTCCTTAGTTTCTAATGATACATCCAGCATGAAACTGACAAACGTTAGCATGTTAGCCCTCTAGCATACAACACATAGTTGGTTTCTATAGGACTATCCTATGCGGCGTTAGCCAGTAAGCTACGTGATCCTACGATTTAATGGCCTTAGCACTGGCCACCAATTTGGTAGGTTGTTGTTGTAAGTTTCACCACCGTAATAATTGTTCTTTTTAATCGGTTCTTCATGAATCCCGTTCCTGTTCATGGTGGATTCTTGTTTTTTTTTCAAACGTGAAATGTAGGGTTAATTTGACAAATTTCCTAGCAAAATGATTCATTCATGACATTGCATCTTGTATAAGGAGCTGATTTGTAGCATTTCATGGCAGATGCAACATATTGCATGACCTCTACAATCAAGTGATAGTGAAAAAATCCTGCAGACGTGTGTGATTGTCGTGGAAAATGGAGGCCTTCAGGAGGCGACTAGGTATTGATTTGCAGGTCAGGAAGGACACGAGGATGTTGGAATGGAGGAAATGACGTGCTTAAGCAGTATTAGGACGCAGGCAAGAGTGTTCTTGTTCTTTTTTTAATAGTACGTGTCGTCATTTCGTGGGAGACATGTACACGCGTCCTCGTCCCTCCATTGTCACAAAGGAAAAGGGCGCCATGGAGAATGC